GGGTTCACCACTTTGGAAATAGGAAAGGGTCCCACGAAGCAAGGTGCCAATTTCCGGCACTCAACCCTCAGAGGAAGGTCTTTGGTAGACAACCATACACGGTCTCCAACCTGATACAGGGGTGCAGGAATCCTTCTGCGGTTGGCTGTCTTAGTAGCGATAATGGAGGACTTGAGGAGCTCTTTCCTGGCTGCTCTCCAAACTCTTTGGCAGCGGAGGGTGGCCCGATGAGCAGATGGCACCTGGGCAGCACGCTCATGAGTGGTGAACACCGGTGGTTGATGTCCAAATATGACGTAAAAAGGGGATAGACCAGTGGCACTTGATGGTAAGACGTTGATGGAATGTTCTACCAGGGAGAGGTTCTCAGCCCWTTTAGTGGGGTTGTCCTCACACGGGATACATAGGCGGGTCTCCAACTCCTGATTGGCCCTTTCAGTCTGGCCATCRYTCTGAGGGTGAAATCCTGAAGACAGACTGAGGGTTATTCTCAACATAGAACAAAACTCTTTCCAAAACTTTGAGKCATYCAGAGGYACARAGGTGAGTTGCATGAGCTGATTACCTGAGGATCTGTGAAGGGAGGGGGAGCAGGGCTGTGACAAGGCTGAGGAAAAGAGCTGCTAAAAACACATGACATGAGATAAAAACAAAATTAAATCTATAACATAGGTAACTAATATTAAACTTATAAAGCCAATTACAGCTGGCATCCACAAAAAGTGCCAAAAAATGTCAAAATTGGAGCTTTTTTTGAAAATCTGGTCACGCACTTTCCCCAACTGTTCTGTCAGTATTTCCTAAACTGGCACCAAARTGCACCAAAAATATCTTCAGACACTGTAATAATTCAAAAACATAAGATAAGATGTTCAATGTCATCTTTTTTTCGTTCTAGAAGGAAACAAATGACACCAACCCTGTAAATTATAAAATAAGAAGAATAAAAGAAGAAGATGCAGGGCAGTGTGCCTTGAGGACCAGGGTTGGGAAACACTGGTGTGACGTTCAGTAAGAACCTGTTTTCTAAAAGAAAAAATCTGTCTGAATGCTTAATCTCAGGTTATAATCCATGCAAAGCTAAAATGTTGAGTTGTTTCTGGAACTTTCTGATTGAGAACACATAATCCTGAAGAMGTCAGACATACTGTAATCTGTCACACTTGGTGGAACACTAACTGGAACATGAACGTGAACATGCAGGAGGAGGAAACCGCTCAATATTTACTTTTAATATCTCCTTCAACATGTTTTGTTTTCCTTGTTGCTCTTTTTGTTGTTAATTGAGAGTTGTTTTTTCCTGATCCTCACAGTGTATTTTCCTTCTACAGCTGATTGAATTAACTCCATGTCTCTGACTGGTTGTGTGTTTTGTCCAGCGATGCACCTGTTTGGTTTGAACTGGCAGCTTCAGGACACTGAGGGATATGGAGCGTTTGAAAATGGAGGAAGAGAAACAACTCCCAACAACTTCGTAGTCTCTACAGACAACGGTGAGTCTTAGTTTGCTTCAGTGACTGAGTTTCCATGCATCTAAACAACATGTATCTTTGTTTAAGCAAACTGGCAAATTATGCTAAAACTTTAAAAATGTCTCCTCCAAATTAGATCATATCAATCTAACTCAGGGCTTCTTAACCTTTTTGACATCGGGGCCCAATTTATTGAACATAAAGTGACACGAGGCCCAGTCAGACATTACCAATGTATGGA